ATCAGTGATGAGAGAGAATCATTGATTGCCCCCTTCAGGCCCCTACAACCTGCAACTCGGGGATGTGTCCTGACCGGGAATTGAAGGGTGACCTCTTGGTTCATAGGTTGGTCCTCAACTATTGAGCCACACCGGCCGGGCAGGGGTGAAACATTTTATCAACCTGATGAATTTGAGTTTAACTCATTTGCCAGTCTAGTTTTCCTGAAAAAAAAAAAATGCATTCATCTGAAAATAAAATCTTCATCTTAGATGATCTCATTTGAGCCTGTATTAGGAGAGGTGGCATAAATACTTTATATGAATAATGGATTGATCTATAAGTTAATTAGATCCAAGAGAACCTGCTGTCAAAAGAAAAATGCTCTGTCAGTCCTTTCTTCACATCAGCTTATTCCGGACCTATTGTTACTGTACTGAAGAGCTGTACGCTGTATTCGTTTCTCAAAAGGGGTACAGAGAAATGTCAGCCTGGGGAAGTGAGCGTTGTCAGTATAGGTAGTGCGTATTGGCGCAGTGCTGGGGGGAGTTCTGTATGTAAATTGCATGTGGTAGATGAAGCCTTGGGTCGTGATTATGAAGAACGGGGTGCTTTTGCTCCTTCTCCATTAGAAAGGTGATTAAATCACTTGCGAATGATTAAGTTACTTTTAGGTTTGCTTCCCTTCAAAAGGAAACCCCAGGAGCTTTTTATATAAAGGATAGCACTCAAAATATCTTATCTTTGAATATTGGATTTTTTGAAGTCCCCTTTCAACATTTTACTGATTCCTAGTGTGGAGCCTCTTACCCATTCTTTTAAATGCTTCTTTTGGGAGGTGCAAGGAACTAAATGCACCCTCCGCGTTGATTCCGTTTCTCTCTGCTGTACCCTCGCCTACGCCCCCCAAGCTCATTGTGATGAGAGTTTGCAGTCTGATTTTCATCAAGATGAATCTTCACGTAGTGGACTAGAATGAGGGTCTGAGACTATGGGTGACTTTATTTTCTTCTTCAACATTTCTGTATTTGCTGTAATGAGCATGGGTAACTTACACTTGAGAAACATTAAATTTGATATTCTTAAAACCAGCAAAAACATTTTTAATGAAATGTCATACTAAGTGTTTGATTTCCTTGTTTCGTGCCATATTCTAATGATGAGATGAGAGTTGTAAATGAAGTGGTAATCCTGGGCGTCCCACGTTATTATCCTATTTATTTGTCTTGGAGAGTTTACTTGTCTGCTTTTAGAGGATATGTTAATTGACTGATCAGTATTCATTACAAATAATCTTGTCTGTTTTCTTGTCGAGATTCTGAAGGCCCTTTTGCTCTTTCTGTAAAAGCTAAGCAGACTGTATTAACTTCTGATTTAATTTAAAAAACAAATGTGGAACTTGTTGGCACAACACCTTAAAGAATTGCATGTTTAATAATTGGAAGGCTTTCCATCAGATTTGTCTCCAGTCTGAATTAATAATGTTGCTGACTTATTGTTTTAGAAGACAGAGTCCTTGACCTGCTAGGTTGAAAGAATTGTGACTGCTCTGAACCTTGCCGGTCCTTTAGCTGTGCCGTTTCCCCTGTGAATAATTAGAGGTATTTGAAGGTATTGAGGTAGAAGCCAATTTGTGTCTTTCACTTTGCATATTGTTGAAGCCTCATGAATTAATCATAAGCAGGCAAAAAATTAACTTCTTCAGACACATATTTTGATGGGTCATGAGGGAGAATGTAAAGTGATCTGTAAAATATTCTACTGATCCTCAGAGTATTAAATTATTATACCTACAGGCTAATTTCAGAGGAAAAAAGAGTTTTCCTCCAGTAATTGAGCAGCAAATTTGAAAAAAATAAAGGTTTGTTATTTTCTAGGACTGTTAAAAGGACCATAAATGAGCAAATTTATGATTTTCTGAAAACCAGATTCTTGTGTTAATTATTGTTTTAAATTTTTTTGTTTATTATTCTTTTTACTTTTAAATTACTTGATTTCTAGATTCTTATAACTCCAGTGAATACTTCTTGTTGATTTAGTGAATTGTGAAACCAAACAAATAACTCATCTTTCTCACTTTAGGCATCTAAATCACTAAATCAGAGTAATGTGGGTTTCCATACTTATTTAAATCCAATTTCACATTAAAATTATTTTCCTTTTTCTGTTTTTCTTTTTTTTCAGCCAATGAAACTGAAATTGCATTCTTCTGTGAAGAAGATTATAAGAACTACAAAGCTAATCCCATTTCATCCTGGTGAAAACCTCACGGGGCTTCCTTTTTGCATGCCTATCTTAAGCTTTTTATTCCACTAGTGAGTTTTTAAATTGACAAATAAACTTTAAAAATTAATCATGGCTCTGCTATTTGAGTTAAAATCTGTGGTGTTTACTCTCTTTGCCAGTCTCATTTTTCTTTCTTTCTTGTTTAAAATAATATATTTATTTGTGAGAAAAAGTTTGATGGATTATTTACTTATGTATTTATTTATTTTCAGAAAAGTCATTTGAAATGGCTTGGGTGGGCCTGAAAGTTGGGTGGGGCAGGGTCTCAGGGAATCACCAGATGGGCAAACAGGGTGAGCCAGGTTGATGGAGACTCAGTATGGCACCTGTCTGCCAGCTCTGTGGGAGGAGGACCTAGCAAAGGAACCGCCTCTGCCAGCACTTCTGTCTGGGAATAAGCTGCCCCTCCAGCCCTTGCTGGACAATTCAGTTCCTCCCTGTATGTCCCTGGAGACTTTTGAGCTCCTGCCCAGTGCTGGGGCTCAGAGCCTGTGAGTCTGAGCAAGTCTGTGCATGGGCCCTGTAAGGGAACACCTGGGACTCCAGCAGCCCTTTGGCTCACTCATTTACAATTTCTGCTTCCTGGCCCTGGAACCCTGGGCTGGGGAGCCTGGTACAGGACTGGGACTTCTTGCTCCTCAAGGTGGACCTCCACACCCAGGATAGCCCTTTAACTTTTTTTCTTTTTTAAAAATATTTTATTGCTTTCAGAGAGAAGGGAGAGAGATAGAAACATCAATGATGAGAATCATCCATTGGCTGCCTCCTGCACATTCCCTACTGGGGATCGAGTCTGCAGCCCAGGCGTGTACCCTTGACCAGCATTGAACCTGGGACCTTTCAGTCCACAGGCTGACACTCTATCCACTGAACAAACCAGCCAGGGCCCCTTCTAACTTTTAACCACCCCACCTGGGTGTGGGACAAGCTCCTCTCCACCCCTTCCACCCATCTCCACGTGCTTCTGTACATCCTTAGTTATAGGACTTGTGATCTCCACTTCAGGCAGTTCTCGATGGTTGTTCTGTAGTTTAGTTGTAATTTTGATGAGGTTGTGGGAGGAGGTGAGTACAGTGTTTACTTACTCCACTATCTTGACCGAAAACTCCAGCCCAGAATTTCCAAGTTGGTTTTTTTTTTAAGTGAAGAAATAGTTTTCCAGAAATCATCATGGAATATTTGTTCTTTAGTCATAATTTGTTTTTCTGAAGTTAGGGGTTATTTTGGTGACTTGCATGTTGAGTTCTTTAAAAAGATTATAGGAATAAGGTGATTCTGTTTAGTTTGTATTTTTTCCATAGTTTCTAATTAAAGGCACTCTTGCTATCTTTGGCTAGCAGAGACTTTAAGAGTCTCTTATGACTGTCAAGGCCATCTTTTAGCTCACAGTGATACACATCCCTACTCATGAAATTGAATCATATATATTTTAGGAAGTTTTCTGATGTAAGAGGGTTTCTTCTGTTCTTTTAATATTTCAGCCTACACAAATAACGTTGCCGAAATGTCTTTATGTGAGCTATGTTTCCTGACTTAAGAAGCAAACTAAAATAGAACCAAACTCATTTATTTGGAGAAAGAACGTAACAGGATGTTTGTACTTCATTGACGCATTCTTTCACAATAATACTTCACTTCCTAATAGTGGCTGACCACCAGGGCCTGAGGAGTAGGAGTTGAAAAGGGGCCCTTGGCCAGCATGCATCTGATCAGAACTCAGACAGGTTGTTGGCTCTAGAGTTACTCCATGAACCTTTACAATTGCCATTAGGGCAAATTGGTTTGTTTCATGGTGGTAGAGGCTAACTTGAGAAAAACCATTCTTTTTAAAAACTCAACTTTGAAATTTTGGTTAACATAATAAGAATATGGTTTTTGTTGTTGAAAGATTTAATAGAACCTATTTTTTATTTTTTTATTTATTTTAAAATATATTTTATTGATTTTTTACAGAGAGGAAGGGAGAGAGACAGAGAGCCAGAAACATCGATGAGAGAGAAACATCGATCAGCCGCCTCCTGCACATCCCCCACCAGGGATGTGCCCGCAACCCAGGTACATGCCCTCGACCGGAGTCGAACCCGGGAACCCTCAGTCCGCAGGCCGACGCACCATCCACTGAGCCAAACCGGTTTTGGCGAACCTATTTTTAAAAGAAATTTATTGTTTCATTCATTAAGTGAACTGCTGAATGCACACACGATTTAGGCTTCTGGGGGCTAATAAGATACAGTTTTGCCTCAATGAGTGGGGAAAGATATATTAGCAAGTAATTTTAATGGCAGTGAAAACTGCTATGGAACCAGTAATGATGGGGTAATTAATTCTATGTGGGATTAAGTTTTATTTTAAAAGAAGTACCAGTTGAGCTTTGTCTTAAAAGATTGAGTAGGAATTTTCGCTTAGTGGAAAATAAGGGATAGGCATTCAGGAAGAAGGGCAGCATATGTAAAGGCAAAGCACTGTGTAAGAGCTTGGGGTGTTCACTAGAAAGTACAAATTTCATCTATAATAATAAAAGCTTAATATGCTAATTAGGCCAGACGTCCTTCTGGATGTCCTTCCGGACAAAGCTGAGGCTGCGAGGGAAGCCTGGGTCCGGGTGCCTTCCGGCAGCTGCGGGGAGGCCCAGGTCCTGGGTGCCAGAAGGAAGCCAGTGCTGGCAACCAGGGGAAGGAAGGCCTACTCTTGCATGAATTTTGTGCATCGGGCCTCTAGCTAGAATATAAAGCACTTGGAATAAAGTGGAGGAAGATGAAAGCAGAAGGTGAGTGAGCCTTGTGAGTCATGCTAAGAAGTTAGAACTTCATCTAGTTGGTAGCTGAGAGCCAGTCAAAAGATTTAAACAGGTAACTTCCATGATTAGATTTGTATTTTAGGAAGTGAGCATTGTCCAGATGGCAGAAAGACTAGAAGGCGTTTGTCAGACCAGGTGAAGACTGGAAGGCCTTGACCTGGGGCACACAGAGAAGAGGAGACCTCCTTGAGATAGTGTTAACATTTGGTCATGCCTTGTGTTAGGTCCTCTACATACATTATCTCATTTGATTTTTACCACAACTCTTCAGCCTTGATAGTATCATACCTATTTATAGAAGAGGAAACGGGGCCCAGAGAGGTAAAGGGGTTTACTCAAGGCAATGCAGTGATGTGCATTGGGATTGGAGGCTGGTCTGTTAAAATCCTGACCTGGTCTCTCGGTGATGCCTGAGGTAGAATTGTTACTGGAGAAGGACCAGCCCAGGGCTGCCCCTCACAGCCTGGAAATAGGATTCTTCTGTGGTGTCCCAGGAAAAGAATTTTGGGACACACACACACGTAGGAGGAGTTTCAGTGGTAGCGGCAGGATTTATTAGAGGAAAAGAGAGAGTACACCCTCGGAGAGGTGGAGTGGGCAGGCTGCCAAGCCTCCATCTATTTTCTTGAGTTCGGAAAAGAGCAGACCTTCCTTCCCACTATCCAGCCTCTTTCCTGGCTTTTCCCTGGGGCTTTGCCTGTGCCCTCCCTTCATCCAGTCTCTTTCCTGCTTTTCCAGGGTTTCTTGCCCTCGTACTATCTGATCTCCCCCCGCAAGTTCCCAGGCTAGCCCTGCCCCCCTTGATGATTGCCATGTGGCTTCTCTGCATGCCTCAGAGTTCTGCTTCATCATTTGGCTTCTATTGCACATGCCCTGAGTGAAAGGAATTTCCCTTCGTGGTCCCTACCCCCCTCCTGTTAACCTGGCAGAACCGTGCAGGGTGTTTCCTAGAGTGCTGGGTGCTTCCTGGGGTGCTGGGTGCTTCCTGGGGTGTGGTTTCTTCCTGGAGTTCTGGGTGTTTCCTGGGGTGCTGGGTGCCTCCTGGGGTGCTGGGTGCCTCCTGGAGTG